GTGCTCTGCAGGCCCCGACCCTGCCGGTGCCCTTGGCAGCACCACGGGGTTGCTCCACACCGATAGCTCAGCACAAAGCCCGCGGAGCACCCGCGGCAAGCAGCGCTGGCAGCGCTCCCGGGCCGGGAGGAGGAGGAGGGAGAACTTCATTTCCACCCACACCGACACAACCCCGGCAGCCCGGGCTCCCTGAGACACCGGGAACATGAAATTCAGGGGATTGTAGCAGGGGGAATAGCCCTGCAGGATGGGCTGATGCCTCAGGGCAGGTCATGGCATTGAGGGAAGCTCCAAGACCTCCTTGGCAGCCACAGCAAAAGCAGGAGTTCCTAGTGCAGGGGCAGCCCAGCCGAGCCATGACCCACTCCCCAGTACCCCCACACCAGTGGCTGACAGCTCCTCCAGCCCAGCAGCCCAGGCTGGCTTCACCCTCCCCAAATCCCTCATGATTTCTCCCCAGGAGAAATCCTCCAGGCAAGCACCGTTCTGCCTCCTCGAGAGAAAACCATAAACGCATCTGATGCTCCAGCAGCCATATCCTGCCTGTCCATGGGGTGAGCACCCAGCCCCAAAGCCCCCCTGGCCTGAAGAGACCTGAGGTGAGGTTTGGGGTCAACACCCGGGATGCAGAGAAGCCCCACGGCTGTGGGGCAGGGAGCTAGACAGCAGGAGAACGGAAATGCTTCTAATTTCTGTAAGCTGTCACAGCCTCTCCTCCAATGCCAGCAGCCCTCCCACGGATTAGCCCCAGAGCCTCGTTAGGAGCAATTACAGCCTCCAGTGGGGAGAGTGGTGGGGGAAGCTGGACTGGGTCCCCAACACGGGCATCGTGTGCCACCCCGCTCCTCTGCACCCAGGGGTGGCAGAGGGACAGCTGCCCACAGAGATGCTCCCTTGGGATGGGGAACTCAGTGGTATCACATCCCTGTTCGTGTCCTGAAACAGCACTTGGGGCACCTCTGGACCCTTCTCCCTCCAGGAGCATTCAGGACCATCCCTCCCCAGCACCTTCAGCCAACCAGCAGGACCAGCAGCCCCAGGGACCCCAAACACACCGTGTGCTACTCCCTGGCTCCCAGCCTCCACAACGGCAATTTCAGGGCAGCTTTTAAAGTCACAAGTCCCAGGAAACTCCCCGCAGCCCTACAAGCAGCAACAGGCCTGTCAGCAGCAGCATTCCCAGTTACTCAAAGCGAAGCACAGCGGCTCTGAGGACACCCAGGCCAGCAAATTCACACAGATCCTGAAATCTGGCGCACACATTTGGGCTTCATACAAAGGGGATGCAAAGCAGCCTCCTCACAGCATCCCTGTCACGTCCCGTTTGACTGGAGCTGCTTT